TGGCCCAGGATCGAGCATTGTTTCATTCTGCTGTGCATGGGGTCGCTATGAGTCGGTTCCGACTCGATGGCACCTGACAACAACAACAACAACCCAGAAATAACATCTAAGATAAAAAAGTGAAAAAAGGGATACGATGACTTCCATGCAAAGAAATTGAGGAATTAAAAGACTAGAGAAGGATATCCCATTCCTGTAGCTTAAACTTTTTTGTGAAATTTCTATAAAAGTTTCAGAACAAATTGGCTTTCCATTCAATATACTTCAGACCTAGTTAGTGGCATTGATTCCAGTCCCCATAATATTTCCACTTCCTTCCCTGTATTTATCATCGCCATCTGTCCTTCTTCTGAGCTTCATCCCTGATAATGCTGCTCTTTCAATCTCTAAGGAACACAGACATCATTGGTGATACTGTTCATCTTACAGGCCTGTCTACTGTTGGGCTGGAAATTGAGTTACTGCAGTTACTTCAGTTCCAGGCTTAAAGGGTAAGAGCAATAATCTTAGGGGTTCCACCAGCTTCCACCAGATCAATAAGTCTGCTCTTCTTCATACACTTTAGGTGATTATTTTTTGTTATCCACAATAGCTTGGAAAGCAGTCCTCATTCTTACCTTCAGGAAAGATTAATATTGGTAATTTCTTCTTATCAGCAATATGTTCCTTTAGTCTGTGAAGAAAAAAATAAAAAGTAAGAACTTCTACCTTTAAAGAAATGGGAGTCCTCTTTGGTATCTTTTTGAGTTTACTGTCCTATCCTATCCTATACTGATACTCTTGATAAACTACTATAATCACAAAGCAGTAAGTAGCTTATTGCTTTAAGGAAAAAAGATATAACATATTAGTAAACTCCAGTTCCCTTTCTAACCTAGTATAAGGATAGCTGCTCCTTTAATTCCTGTAATTTCACAGTAATTTTCAGTGGCCCGCCTTCTCTTTAAAAACAAACAAACAAACCACTAACACACAGGCATATGTCATGAACTCTGGAGCTCCCAAGTCATAAATTCTGTGTGCCCATCTCCATGTGCTTATATGGGACTACAGACTGCTGGACCAGTCTGCCTTATGGCTAGTAACCCTAAGAAGACTCTATAAATGAGCCAGACTGAGCCTTCCTATAAAATATGAAAGTAGAGAAATGCCAAAGTCAAAGCTTAGATCCTATCCACCTTGTAGCCAGCATTTATATTGCCAACCCTGGTCACCAGAAAATGGTAGGGGTCAGGGTAAGGGAGGTTTCTATCCCTAAGTGGTGCAAATGGTTAGTGCATTTGCAAAGGGTTAGTGGTGACCAAAAGGTTGGAGGTTCGAGTCTAGCCAGAGGTACCTGAGAAGAAAGGCCTGATGATCTACTACCAAAAAAAAAAAAAAAAAAAAAACAGCCATTGAACACTCTATGGAGTACAGTTCTATTCTGACACACAAGAAGTCAACTCAATAGCAACTGAGTTCCAAAGCGTTTCAGCTGCCAGAGTGCCCCGTGACTGAATAATCGCAGGATGAGGGGCAATTTTGTTAAACTTTAAGCAAATTTCAACAAGTACTTTCCATTTTACTCTTAAGAGTATGGGCACACTGTTTATAAGAACAGTTGTTGTTGTTAGGTGCCATTGAGTTGGTACTGACCCATAGCAACCTTATGCACAGCAGAACGAAATACTGACCGATCCTGGGCCAACCTCACTACTGTGGCCACATTTTGAGTCCATTTATGCTGCCACTTGGCCAATCCATCTTGTTAGGGGTCTTCCTCTTTTTCTCTGACCCTCCACCTTACCAAACATGATATCCCTCTCCAGTGACTGGTCCCTCCTGACAGTATGTCCGAAGTATGAGAGACGAAGGTTGGCCATCTTGGCCTCCAAGGAGCACTCTGGCTGAACTTCTTCCAAAACGGGTCTATTGGTTCTTTGGGCAGTCCATGACACTTTCAATATTCTCCTCCAACACGATAACTCAAAAAGGATCAATTCTTCTATGGTCTTCCTTATTAAAAGGAGCT